TATCACATTTCTCTGCAAGTTGTGAAGTAATTTGTCAAAGTTTAATGGTAAAATTAATTAATAATTGAGCTGCTCTAGAATGTAATGAGTGCAGTTCATACTTCTAAATGACACATAACAATTAATGAAGTTCATCTTCCCTACAATAAGCATATTTAGAAGTCAGGATCTCATCCATGTATCCATGTATCCCTCCCTCACCTTGCCCCTTCAGGCACCACTATCCAATATCCATGTATCCACGTAATCATCGTTCTTCTTACTCCTTTAGAGACATCCGTCTCAGCCATGACTCTACCTAACCATACATTCGTGTGTCTTTCAAGACATAGAGGCAGCCTCGGCTACAAGGTTGCCTCCGAAACATTTGCAACAAGCAACGTTTATCTCTGTTTTAACGTTTTATCGCCGTTTTATCTACGTTTTCAATATAGTATTTGGGCTGGACGGTAGACCGACGGTCTCGCTTCATGCAGGTCGGCGTTCAACCCTCGACTGTCCAAGCGATTGGGCACCAATACCATCCCCAATTACTTATCCTGACCCCTTTCCCAGGGCTATATAGTCATAATGGCTTGGTGCATTCTTCTGATAGTTACACTATTATCTTCGGAAGAAAATTTTATATCCACTGTCCACTTTAGAGGTACCGCTTCATGTCAGAGCCCCATGAGAGATAGAGATAGAAGAGAGAGAGAGAGAGAGAGAGAGAGAGAGAGAGAGAGAGAGAGAGAGAGAGAGAGAGAGAGAGAGAGAGAGAGAGAGAGAGAGATAACAAGACATCTCCCCCCCCTCCCTCTTTGATGCCTGCACGGCTGGCCAATAAAAGGATAAGAAAAACTCACCGCCATTTGTTGACTCTCTCCTCTCAAGAGAGTGAAGACATTCCTCCACGTCTCCTTCCCAACTTGCTTCTTTTTCATTTTCCTCCTTCCACGACGCAAGAAGCTGTTAAGATGATGACTTGAAGGTGAACTTAGCAGAGTTTTGCATCTCATAGAGCCTCAGCATCATCTATAATATATATATATATATATATATATATATATATATATATATATATATAATATATATATATTATATTATATTTTGTTGTACCCCATCTACTTTCTTACACCCTTCATGAGCCCAGATGGACACATGTATAAGCAAGTAGATGGGGTCGCCATGGGTTCTCCCCTAGGTGTCCTGTTTGCAAACTTCTACATGGGTACCATCGAGCAAAAAGTCTTAGTCGACATGAACTTGAAACCGGCCATATACTGCAGGTATGTTGACGACATTTTTACACAGGTACCTGATGCCAGACATCTGCAGGAGCTGAAGGAGGCATTTGAGCGGAATTCTGTGTTGAGTTGCACTTACGAGATGGAGAAGGATGGGAAGCTGCCCTTTCTAGATGGAAAGGAGCGGAGGTTTCCACACTGCAGTAAGTTTTCCACCTTAGTACACTAAGGAAACAAACATAGGAATGTGGCTCAATGCCAACAGTGACTGCCTAGACAGGTACAAGATGAGTGTTGTCCACGCTTATGTCGACCGTGCTCTCAGCCACAGCTCAGGATGGAAGCATGTCGATGAAGAACTCTGTAGGGTAAGGCAGGTCCTAGTCAACGGCTTCTCCAATGTTTTCGTCGAAGACATCATAAGAAGGAAAGTGAAACGCCATGCAACCTCTGAAGAGACAACTAACACAACACCTATACCCCCTATTAGACTATTTTACAGGAACTTCTTTTCCACAGCTCATAAAACGGAGGAAAGGGTCCTGAATGATATTGTTAATAGGAACGTTATCCCTACAGACAAAAATCAGAAGATACAATTGACGATTGACTATAAAACCAAAAAACCGGCCAACCTACTCATGAAAAAATCCCCAGACACCAAACAGAACGCCTTAAAGGAGCCCAACGTCGTCTATGCCTTCAAATGCCCACTTGGGGACTGTAAGCTCTAAAGAACTCAGTATATAGGCAAGACAACAACGTCTCTTTCCAGGCGATTAACAATGCATAAGCAACAGGGCTCCATCAAGGAACATATAATCTCTTCCCACAATCAGACCATCACCAGAGAAGTCTTAACAAACAACACAGAAATCATCGATAGATACAGCGATAGCAGGAGGCTCGACATCTGCGAGGCACTACACATCAAAAAGTCAACACCAGCAATCAACAGCCAATTAATGAACAACTATATTCTACCCAATTCAAGACTCCGCTCCAATATAGAAGCATCAAGAGGAAGTATGGGCCAATAGGCCTTCTGCAGTTACTTCCATTCTTATACTCTCATATATCCAATTAATACCCATTGTTCCGTGTTCTGTCTTGTGTTTGTCAAAAGTTTGTTCACTTCATCCAAAACTGTTGCAACATATCACCTCACCCAAGTGCGAGTATATAAGACGGATAAAAGTTGTTAAGTTTTAGTATAAGTAAAACTCTGTTTAAAGTTTTCAGGTTACAGTTGTGTGTGTAAACTAAAGTCTTTGAAAATGTAATAAGTTATTACGAAACGCGTTCAAGCGTCGCGTCAGACTAGAAATAAAAAATAAATTTGGAGAACTGATTTTTCAATTACCATCCACAGTAAAAAGAAACATAAGAAATATTAAGAAAATTCGTGTTAGAATTATTAATCTTACTTTTTCGGTCATATTTAACAACATATATATATGTATATATGTATATATATATATATATATATATATATATATATATATATATATATATATATATATATATATATATATATATATATATATATATATAAATCACCATGAACTCATCGAAGCCATAAACAAACCAAAGGATTGACATTGACCATCTGCGCCCTTGATGAACTCATCAAGGGGGGGGGGGGAGGGGGGGCAGCATAAGCCATAAACTCATCAAAGGAACTCATTCTTATACATAAATTCCGGATCCATCTGAAGAAAATAAACATTAATATTTACATCAGTAAACATCTCTATCAAGTTATCAGTGAGGGGATCCAAGAACCACAAACATATCAAACCGCGTTTTACCAAAAGCGACAAAACGAATCAAATTGTTTGGTATTAACAATAAATGTTGGATGTAGCCTTGTTCCAGCAACAACAGTTCCGTCGTACTGTGATCTAACTACGCCATCTGCAATTACGCTGCATTGAGACAATTGAAATTGGTTAAAGGAGAGTTGTGTGTCTCTGGTGTAGTCATGTGGTGTGTGTGTGTATACTGTGTTTGCATGTGGTTGTCTCTCTCTCTCTCCTGTGCAGTCATGTTTGAGTGTCCTGCGCGCGCGTGTGTGTGTTTACTCACCTTGTTGTGCTTGCGGGGGTTGAGCTTTGTCTCTTTGGTCCCGCCTCTCAACCGTCAATCAACTGGAGCATAGATTCCTGAGCCTACTGGGCTCTATCATATCTACATTTGAAACTGTGTATGGAATCAGCCTCCACCACATCATTGTCTAATGCATTCCATTTACTAACTACTCTGACACTGAATAAATTCTTTCTAACGTCTCTGTGGCTCGTTTGGGTACAAATTTCGGGGTTTCGGAGTATTATTAAAATTGTATGCATCAAATGCAGATGCAAAATTGTATGCATCCAATCATTAGCGTGATTGACCTAACGAGTGAAAGGGTCAATAAGATCTATCAACTGACAGGTTCATTAAGACCTATCCACTCACAGCGTCACTGAGGCCTATTGACAGACAAGGTGAATTAGACCTATTGACTGATAAAGTCAATACGTCGTATCGTTTGACTAGGTCATTCAAACCTATCGACGGTCAATACATTCCATATATAAGTGAATTGAACATGAACTATTTAATTTATAGAATGGACATTTTCCATTCTTCCAAGTGAATTTTCTAATATTTCTTCGGCATCTGTGTTTAGCTAGTTTAAATCTATGACCTCTTGTTCTTAAAGTTCCAGGTCTCAGGAAATCTTCCCTATCGATTTTATCAATTCCTGTTACTATTTTGTATGTAGTGATCATATCACCTCTTTTTCTTCTGTCTTCTAGTTTTGGCATATTTAATGCCTCTAACCTCTCCTCGTAGCTCTTGCCCTTCAGTTCTGGGAGCCACTTAGTAGCATGTCTTTGCACCTTTTCCAGTTTGTTGATGTGCTTAAGATATGGGAACCATACAACCGCTGCATATTCTAGCTTTGGCCTAACAAAAGTCGTGAACAATTTCTTTACGTGTGTGTGTGTGTGTGTGTGTGTGTGTGTGTGTGTGTGTGTGTGTGTGTGTGTGTGTGTGTGTGTGTGTGTGGAGTCCTGGCAGAGTAAAACGTACAGTGCACAGGTAAGTCTGGGGATAAATTAATGTCCCGGGAACCGCACATAACTGTTCTCCTGGGTTCATAATCAGGTTGTTAACGATATACCTGAGGCGATCTCAGTATACAGTTTACGCCAGGTAAACTTTACTTACATTAAAGCCTCAGATTCAATATTATCCACGAAACAGCTTCGCGAAGAGCAACGAAACTTAAAAAACAAAAATAAGCTAATTTAAATATTATTTTTTCGTGTAACGAAATCGGCTTACCTTATTTTTTTGTTTATTATTGCTTTATTGAAGCGAGGTCAATACGTTCCTGGTGTAATAGGTATTATTGACAATCTTGTTTACGGATATTAGACGAATTATATCTCCATGGTTTATTGTTTCAGAGAAAATTCAGTTTTATTGGGTCTATCTCTCTCTCTCTCTCTCTCTCTCTCTCTCTCTCTCTCTCTCTCTCTCTCTCTCTCTCTCTCTCTCTCTCTCTCTCTCTCTCTCTCTCTGTCTCTCTCTCTCTCTCTCTCTCTCTCTCTCTCTCTCTCTCTCTCTCTCTCATTCCCTCTCTCTTTATTTGTGATGTGTGGATACTTCCAGGTATCTTTTTGGATTGTACTGACCTTGCGAATGTAACTAGAAAGATAATCGTTTAATTGGTTTCGAGTACAAGCTGGAGCATCGTAGAGTGTTCCTCGGTTAAAGATGACTATCGGGTAAGTTATATCGTTTTAACAGTGAGTTATTGTCATGTAACAGTGAGTTATTGTCATGTAACAGTGAGTTATTGTCATGTAACAGTGAGTTATTGTCTTGTAACAGTGAGTTATTGTCATGTAACAGTGAGTTATTGTCATGTAACAGTGTCTTAGTATCAAGGATAGAAGGATAGACTGTGGAGTCAAGGATAGAAGGATAGACTGTGTAGTCAAGGATAGAAGGATAGACTGTCGTGTCGAGGATAGAAGGATAGACTGTGGTGTCAAGGATAGAAGGATAGACTGTCGTGTCGAGGATAGAAGGATAGACTGTGGTGTCAAGGATAGAAGGATAGACTGTGTAGTCAAGGATAGAAGGATAGACTGTCGTGTCGAGGATAGAAGGATAGACTGTGGTGTCAAGGATAGAAGGATAGACTGTGGTGGCAAGGATAGAAGGATAGACTGTGGAGTCAAGGATAAAAGGATAGACTGTGGAGGCAAGGATAGAAGGATAGACTGTGGAGGCAAGGATAGAAGGATAGACTGTGTAGTCAAGGATAGAAGGAAAGACTGTGGAGTCAAGGATAGAAGGATAGACTGTGGTGTCAAAGATAGAAGGATAGACTGAGGTGTCAAAGATAGAAGGATAGACTGAGGTGTCAAAGATAGAAGGATAGACTGTGGAGGCAAGGATAGAAGGATAGACTGTGTAGTCAAGGATGGAAGGATAGACTGTAGAGTCAAGGATAGAACGATAGACTGTGGAGACAAGGATAGAAGGATAGACTGTGTAGTCAAGGATAGAAGGATAGACTGTGGTGTCAAGGATAGAAGGATAGACTGTGGAGTCAAGGACTGAAGGATAGACTGTGGTGGTGAGGAGGAAGCCTGGCGCTCCGCCTGGCCATTGACCTCAGCTACGATGAAATCACCGAGACTTGGTGGGATTTACGACCAGTTCGGTGTTGTGAATACACGATGTCTTAAGTCCCGTGTCTCAACCTGGCCTCTGGTGCGTCTTGGGTTTGCAGAAACCGGTTTCCAAATCTTAAATGATAAAAATTCCTGTTTTCGAGGGACAGGAAGCTTGCATTTAGGCCTATTGAGGCCTCTATATGTTAACTACTACTTCTCCTTGTTCACAACCCCCACAACAGTTGCCTAACTCATGGGTACCTCTTTTGCTGCCAGGTGAACAGAGGCACCAGATGGAAGGAAACGAACCCAACAGTTTCCGTCCTGCTCGGTGAGTAAACCCGGTCACAAGATTGTGAGTCGAAAACGAAGGCCATTGTGTAAAAGCAATATTCAGGATATACCACTAAGCCAAGATGATTATACCACACATGAAAGGTATATACGACCCGATTAGGAGTTGGTATATCAGGACGGGTGAAATGAACAGTGCCCAATCCCTTTGACCATCGGGGATCGAACGTCGACCTGCAAGACGCGTTACCGCCACTATACTGACTACCTTTCTTGGTACGAATTGGGTCCAGGACGGACTGAAACGTCGTCACATACGGGTTCAAAATGGACCGAAACGTCGTCACTCTCATATAATATATGATAGTTTGGGTTATTTATTAATTTTCTTGTCAAAACATTACTTATAATAACATATATTTTAAAATACAATTCCTCACGTCTCTGACCTTTATCTACTTTCTTCTACCTGATCTTACTCTACTTTCTACCTGTAACCTTCTCTACACCTTCTACTACCTTACAAGATGAGAGGCTATCCACTAAGTTTGGTTTCTTTTCTAGACTGTTTCTCTGTGTGGGGTAATCTTAGTTTCATGAAGATGCCCAATACGTTAGGTTAGGTGTGTGTGTGTGTGTGTGTGTGTGTGTGTGTGTGTGTGTGTGTGTGTGTGTGTGTGTGTGTGTGTGTGTGTGTGTGTGTAGTGTGTGTGTGTGTGTGTGTTCGTGTACGAAGACACACAACTCAAAACAAAATTTATTATGAAAGCCTTTTGATATCACAACAGCAAGCTATCCTCTGCGTCCACGCACAATGCAATGTCCTCAACTACATATGCACCCTGGGAGTGAACTGGGAGTGAACTGGGAGTGAACTGGGAGTTAACTGGGAGAGTAGTGGGAGTGTAGTGGGAGTGGGAGAACCAGTGAGAGAGATGTCGTCCCTTCACCAGCTTCTTTCAAGACTGGATGAAAGAGTCAATTTCCCCAGAGTATCACAGCTCAACGCAGAAGCATATGACACAGACCCCATGTGTCCGTAAGCTTAGACCCCATGTGTCCGTAAGCTTAGACCCCATGTGTCCGTGAGCTCAGACCCCATGTGTCTGTAAGCTTAGACCTCATATGTGTCCGTGTGCTCAGACCCCATGTGTCCGTAAGCTTAGACCCCATGTGTCCGTGTGCTCAGACCCCATGTGTCTGTAAGCTTAGACCCCATGTGTCCGTGTGCTCAGACCCCATGTGTCCGTAAGCTTAGACCCCATGTGTCCGTAAGCTTAGACCCCATGTGTCCGTGTGCTCAGACCCCATGTGTCCGTGTGCTCAGACCCCATGTGTCCGTGTGCTCAGACCCCATGTGTCCGTGTGCTCAGACCCCATGTGTCCGTAAGCTTAGACCCCATGTGTCCGTAAGCTTAGACCCCATGTGTCCGTGTGCTCAGACCCCATGTGTCCGTGTGCTCAGACCCCATGTGTCCGTGTGCTCAGACCCCATGTGTCTGTAAGCTTAGACCCCATGTGTCCGTGTGCTCAGACCCCATGTGTCCGTGTGCTCAGACCCCATGTGTCCGTAAGCTTAGACCCCATGTGTCCGTAAGCTTAGACCCCATGTGTCCGTGTGCTCAGACCCCATGTGTCTGTAAGCTTAGACCCCATGTGTCCGTGTGCTCAGACCCCATGTGTCCGTAAGCTCAGACCCCATGTGTCCGTGTGCTCAGACCCCATGTGTCTGTAAGCTTAGACCCCATGTGTCCGTGTGCTCAGACCCCATGTGTCCGTAAGCTCAGACCCCATGTGTCTGTAAGCTTAGACCCCATGTGTCTGTAAGCTTAGACCTCATATGTGTCCGTGTGCTCAGACCCCATGTGTCTGTAAGCTTAGACCTCATATGTGTCCGTGTGCTCAGACCCCATGTGTCTGTAAGCTTAGACCCCATGTGTCCGTGTGCTCAGACCCCATGTGTCCGTAAGCTCAGACCCCATGTGTCCGTAAGCTCAGACCCCATGTGTCTGTAAGCTTAGACCCCATGTGTCCGTAAGCTCAGACCCCATGTGTCTGTAAGCTTAGACCCCATGTGTCCGTAAGCTCAGACCCCATGTGTCTGTAAGCTTAGACCCCATGTGTCTGTAAGCTTAGACCTCATATGTGTCCGTGTGCTCAGACCCCATGTGTCTGTAAGCTTAGACCTCATATGTGTCCGTGTGCTCAGACCCCATGTGTCCGTGTGCTCAGACCCCATGTGTCCGTGTGCTCAGACTTCATGTGTCCGTGTGCTCAGACTTCATGTGTCCGTGTGCTCAGACCTCATGTGTCCGTAAGCTTAGACCTCATGTGTCCGTGTGCTCAGACCTCATGTGTCCGTGTGCTCAGACCCCATGTGTCCGTGTGCTCAGACCCCATGTGTCCGTGTGCTCAGACCCCATGCGTCCGTGTGCTCAGACCTTCCTGTTGAAGAACAGCTCATAAAACAGTCCATTCTCTCAATTTGTCACTCAGTAAAAAAATACAACTGTTTTGTGTAATCAGAAACGTGAAAAAAACAGCTGTTTTGTGTAATCAGAAACATAAAAGAGGACAACTCATTCAGTCAGCCACAAACGTAACAAATGCAACTGTTCTGCCTAAAAGAGAAACGTTAATATTACCACCCATCTAACCTACTAACTCTGATGCATACAAAACCGTCAATATTGCGGTGTTTTAATTCGTATTAAACGTTCGCATTTTCAACGTAGTGGTCGATTCCGTAAGAAATACGACGAATTAGGCGAGAGGACAGGATGAATAAAGAGTGGATAAACTGGAGAAGGGCGATAGAAAGGATAACGAAATAAAGGAAGAGAGACGAAGAAAATTCATATTATGTTTTTTGATGTTTTATGTTGGGTGAAAATATCCTAATACAATTATTTTAGGCCTCAGATTTAGGTCTTAGCTTTAGGCCTCAGCTGGTGCACCTGAACACAGCAACAAGCACCAGCCGACACCATCTGACACCATCTGGCTCTATCTGACACCATCTGGCTCTATCTGACACCATCTGGCTCTATCTGACACCATCTGGCTCTATCTGACACCATCTGGCTCTGTCTGACACCATCTGGCACCATCTGGCTCTATCTGACACCATCTGGCTCTGTCTGACACCATCTGGCTTTATCTGCCACCATCTGGCTCTATCTGACACCATCTGGCTCTGTCTGACACCATCTGGCTTTATCTGCCACCATCTGGCTCTATCTGACACCATCTGGCTCTGTCTGGCACCAGGTCAGTTAGTGCCAAATATCTACACAGAGACAGATTATCTTACAGGATACATAATATCTAGCGATTTATCACCACTAATGTATTAAATTCGTTATTTATTCAATTGATTTAATTCATAATACATATTCCGCTAACAGTATAAACAAATAAAAATAAATAACTAATAAAGAAATAAATAATAATAACCAATAAACAAAGTGATAATAAGGAAATAAATAAATGTAAATAAAATAGAAACTCATCTTTTCTATATATTTATAATATAATAATTAACATGAATTTACAGTAATACGGACCGTATTTAAATGGACTAATTTGCATTTATAATTCAGCCATTTAAATGACACAAACCTCCGACCCTCAGATCGATGGCTGTTGTGTCAGTAATTATTGACTAATCACTCACACCATCAATCATTCATATATGACAACATTGACCCATCAAAAAACAAAAAATAGCAAAAACTGAGGTTCGGTTGAATTTGTGAATTAGCCTGTAATTCATTATACCATTATATCGAGGATATAATGTATATATATATACATGTATATCGAGGATATATATATATATATATATATATATATATATATATATATATATATATATATATATATATATATAAAAATCCATTTTTGCAAATATGTATATATGTTCACATGCATGTATTCATGTATTTAAGCATGCGAGAATAAATTTATGTTCGAATTTATGTATAAATGAGTGTGTGTGTTCATTCTTTGACAATTGAAATAGATTTGTCAAATGTAGCGGAAGCACTACATATTAAACACTTTCAATCAACAACAGCCAGGTTGCATTTAGTTATGTGTTTCTGTTTGCAAGATCCAGTTAGACACCCAGTACACACTACACCTGCTCTCCGAGCCGACCAATCAGAGTGCCAGAGGAGATGTCATTGGCAATTTGTCTTCACTTTTCCTCAGCCTCCGAAGATGCTGGTGATTGTTTCAGCGAATCTAATTAAAACTGTAAAATGAAATTAGGAAACTTTTTTTCGACCTTTATTCCAAAAGAGGAAAGTAAGAAATGTATAGATGGTTCGTAACCAAATCGTCCTATCAACATTTTGTCATATTCAGTATCACACACATACACACAGACCCTAAGGGGTCGGTGGCTGAGTGGACAGCTCGCGGGACTCATAATCCAGTGGCCCGGGTTCGATATCCTGCGACGGCAGAGACAAATGGGCAGAGTTTCTTTCATCCTGATGCTCCTGTTACCTAGCAGTAAATAGATACCTGGGAGTTAGACAGCTGTTACGGGCTGCTTCCTGGGTGTGTGTGTGAAAAAAATAGTAGTAGTAGTTAGTAACAATTGATTAATTGACAGTTGAGAGGCGGGCCGAAAGAGCAGAGCTCAGCCCCGCAAGCACAACTAGGTGAATACACACACACACACACACACACACACACACACACACACACACACACACAAAGAGGCACACGCACTAGGGCACACAGGTGGAAACTGAGGGGCCAAATGAGCCACAGAGATATTAGAAAGAACTTTTTTAGTGTCAGAGTAGTTGAATGCATTAGGCAGTGATGTGGTGGAGGCTGACTCCATACACAGTTTCAAGTGTAGATATGATAGAGCCCAATAGGCTCAGGAATCTGTACACCTGTTGATTGACAGTTGAGAGGCGGGACCAAAGAGCCAAGAGTTCAACCTCCGCAAGCACAATTAGGTGAGTACAATTAGGTGAATACACACACATACACACACACACACACACACACACACACACACACACACACACACACACACCAATCAGACTGTAGCTTAACGAGGATGTAGTTAAGAATAACTCCAAACACTATTCAAGAGCAGTTAAGAGAGAAACCACTGTAATATACAACTGACGATGGAAAGCCGGAGACCAAGAGCTGAAGCTCGCCTAACACACATAGACGAGAACAAAGGAGCACACATTCAGGAGCAATATTTCTCGTGTCATGTTGAGAAGAGTTTAAAAAACGCGGGGCTTAATTTTTTGTTGGCTGGGACGAAAGACTTTTTAATTTTAAAATGGACATTAAATTCTACAAAACCACAAGTTAGATATTTTCTAAGATTTTTTCAAACATTTGATGAACGTGTTGCAAGAGAGTACACTCACCCACAAACATATATATATATATATATATATATATATATATATATATATATATATATATATATATATATATATATATATATATATATATATATATATCGTCTTGAACTAAGTGTGCTTGCGGGCTGGTTCCATAGGTTCCTAAGTGCTTGCATAACTGCTTCGTGAATCTGACCCCAGTGATGCTGCAGTCGTCAGCTTCACCAGTGATGCTCATTAGCTCATTAAAGATGATCTTCCATAACAAATATCTGTAACACATCAATTCCCAATGTTTGAAGTTCTATCCAAGTAGCCTAGTGCCAGGCGCCCAAGCTCCAGTAAGATTAGCAGCAATCAACTGACTGACAGACATATATATGACTGACAAAATACTGTCTAAGGTGCAGTAACTGATAGACAGTGAACCTGAGACGGAAGACAGGCGAGTTTATCCCGGAAATATGTCTCTAAATCACAAAACTGGGAAAAAAATATGTGTTGAAAATTCCCTTGTGTTGAGAATATTTTCACCGAATATTTAAGCAATTAAAATTTTTCTTTTGTTTTTATATACATTTATATATTTATATATTTATTATATATTTATATACATTTGAGGGACACTGAAGTCGTCATTCTTTTGCATGTGGAATATCTCTCTCTCTCTCTCTCACTTACAAAAATATTTAAATATGTATATAGAATTTTTTTTTTGACAGGTTCTAGACTCCCCAGAGAGAAGGCTCGACCACACAGCACAGGTGGGCTGTTAATAACTGCTGTGTTTGCGTGTGTAATTGCCTAAGTGTAATTACCTAAGTGTAGTTACAGGATGAGAGCTTCGCTAGTGGTGTCCCGTCTTCCCAGTACTCTTTGTCGTATAACGGCTTGAAACTACTGACGGTTTTGGCCTCCACCACCTCACTTAACGTGTGTGTGTGTGTGTGTGTGTGTACTCACCTAATTGTACTCACCTAATTGTGCTTGCGGGGGTTGAGCTGTGGCTCTTTGGTCCCGCCTCTCAACCGTCAATCAACTGGTGTACAGATTCCTGAGCCTATTGGGCTCTATCATATCTACATTTGAAACTGTGTATGGAGTCAGCCTCCACCACATCACTTCCTAATGCATTCCATTTACTAACTACTTTACCCGGTCGATTCCCCTGAGGATTTTGTAGGTTGTGATCATGTCCCCCCCATGTGTGTGTGTGTGTGTGTGTGTGTGTGTGTGTGTGTGTGTGTGTGTGTGTGTGTGTGTGTGTGTGTGTAGGATACCTACAGATACCGTTGCCCGGAAGTCGACAAAGACCTCAAGAAAATTACTACAATCACCAAGCAGTTTCGTAACAAAAGATCCTTAAACCAGACGACATAAGGGTTCTGGGAGGACCCCGGGGTCCACAGGAACTAACAAGGGTGTTTCAATATGAACAATTAACATTCTTATTCATCTTCAGCTGTACAGAGTCTGAGTGATCTTCGAACTAAGACCAGACGATCGTCACTCGAGTGTGAACTTGTGACATTTCCAATGTGAAATTAATCTCTACATATGATGATGAATAGTGAAATTCATACATAGTGATGGTCATGTGCAGCGAAGATTATGAATAGTGAAGATCGTGTGTGATGAGCAACACGAGGGGCGAAGATTGTGTATTTTGAGTATTGTGAGTAGTGAAGATCGTGTGTTGTGAGTACTGTGTGTTGCGTAAGTGTTTAATTATGTATATGTGTAGAGAGGGGCAGGAACAGTGTTGCTAAGGGCAAGAGGGGCAGGAGGAGCAGTGTTACTAAGGTCAGAGGGCAGGAGGAGCAGTGTTGCTAAGGGCAGAGGGACAGGAGAGGCAGTGTTGCTAAGGGCAGAGATGCAGGAGGAGCAGTGTTGCTAAGGGCAAGAGGGGCAGGAGGAGCAGTGTTGCTAAGGTCAGAGGGCAGGAGGAGCAGTGTTGCTAAGGGCAGAGGGGCAGGAGCAACAGTGTTGCTAAGGTCAGAGGGGCAGGAGAAGCAGCGTTGCTAAGGGCAGAGGGGCAGGAGAAGCAGTGTTGCCAAGGGCAGGAGGAAGAGCTGT